TGGTTTCTAGGTGTTAAGCTTTCACATCTGGATCTTGGTGGTGGTAGTTATTGACATAGGGAGACTGGGGACACAGAGCGTGTGATAGGTATCAGGGACACTCAGGCATTGTTTGTGAAGTTTGAGACTCCTGTAAGACATCAAAGGCAGGTGTCAGTAGGCAGCTTTGGAACTCCAAGGGGAAATTTTGCCTAGAAACAGAAACTTCTGCATTTCAGTTGTTTAAAAAGCCATGGTGAGATATGTGGAATCCTTAGAAGAGTGTAGAGAAGAAAGAAAAGGAGAAAGATCTTTCTCCACTATAATTGGAAGATATATATAAATGCATTAGGGTTAGAAGTTTTAAAGATGACAGACTTCTACGTGATAGCTTCTAATCTTTTATTGAAATAAGTGGAAAAGCTAAAAAGAAGTGGGTGTAGTGTTTGGTAATGTGGGAGAAGTGTGATAGTAGGATGGCCAGGTGGTGGTGAAGGCCCATTTGGAGTTGAGAACAATGAATGTATTGTGACACCAGTTTGTTCCAGTATATTTTTTTTCTCTCTTTAGCAATATTAAGTAGTACAGGTGCAGGCTTGAAGGTAGATGGTTCGGTTTATCCATTGCCCAGAGAAAGTGACAACTTGAGGTCATTGAAAAGGGAGCAATTGTCATGATGAATCTAAGCTGGATAAAAAAAGGAAGTAAAAACAGAGGAGGCTGATACAGAAGGGGGAGGTCAGGTTGGGTGGGCAGATCTATGACTTGTTTCATGTCTGTGAATTTCAGGGGGTTATTTAAGCAAATGAGCTGGAAGTGTGGGAGGGGGTGGTTGGAGAGCAGGATATTTGAATTCATGATTTTGGAAGTGATGAGGTCCAGGATGGTGACCTTTGGAAGTCTTTGGCCAAGTAGAGTGGAAGGAAGGTCATTGTGACCAAAGTAGACAGTATTTTGTAAGAAATGTCTCAGCATTTAGAAGCTTGAAGTATATTTATTTACGGGTAACAGCAGGTTCATTCTGCAGTGGATTGCCATGATTATTCTGCTCAGGTGCATTCCTCCTTTACTTATTCCATTGTTTTACCATTATTAAACAGCACATGTGTTTGGAGACCCACAGCAACCACAATCCAGAATGGATTATTCTGGAGGGAGCTTCAGGTCTTAGGTCTCTTCCCCTGCTAGGACATTTATTTTAGAGATCACTAGAAGTGGGGGTAGCTGGGTAGAACTGAGCACATTTTTACATGTGATTTCATATTATTTCTTGTCCTGGTTGCTATGTAGGGGGGCTTTCCAATTATAATCTCCAGTATATAATGAACTGAAGTTTCTTAATGGTGCTTTTGGAGAACACTTTGCTAAGACACAAAAACAAATGTTTCTGGGGGAGAGGTGGAGAGCAATGACAAGGGGAATTGAAATGGTAATTGTATTTTGCTTAAAGAAAATAATAAGAGGTGTGGAGGGGGGGAGTTAGCTTTGCTGTTTTAAAAAATGGGAAAACCCTTAAAGGAGAAAACCTTTTCTGTTTGAGTAAAGTCCAGTTATATAAAAAACACTTTCCAATATTGAGACTAGGTAGTGTGTGACATGCCATAGCAATAAAGTTGACACTTTGCTGTAGCAGACAGATTGACAGGTAGTCAATGAGACTCCTCTGGTAATTGTTCCTTCCTTGCCTCCTTCTAGGTGAAGCAGCTTCAGGAGGAAACCCCACCTGGTGGTCCTCTGACTGAAGCTTTGCCCCCTGCCAGAAAGGAAGGTGATTTGCCCCCACTGTGGTGGCATATTGTGACCAGACCCAGGGATCGGCCTGTGTAGAGAGAGAGAGAGAGAGAGAAAGACAAAGACCTAACTATTCATGATTGCAAGTGAAATAAGTTACAGAACAGACACACACTTGCCCTAATAAAAATAACTGAAATGGTCTGGTCTGACTGATGTGTTCTTCTAAAGATTACCATGATGCCAAGTGACATGCAACTGTCATTGTTTTCTTATCACTTATGCATGTAAAGAAAATGATGTGAAATGTAGTCAGTCAATTGTGTTCTCTTCCTTAAGAAATTGGCCTGGCGAGGTGGCTCAGGCCTGTAATCCTAGCACTCTGGAAGGCCTAGGCGGGAGGATTGCTCGAGGTCAGGAGTTTGTAACCAGCCTGAGTGAGAGACCCCGTCTCTACTAAAAATAGAAATAAATTAATTGACCAACTAAAAATATATATACAAAAATTTAGCCGAGCATGGTGACGCATGCCTATAGCCTGTAGTCCCAGCTACTCAGGAGGCTGAGGCAGTAGGATCGCTTGAGCCCAGGAGTTTGAGGTTGCGTGAGCTAGGCTGATGCCACGGCACTCACTCTAGCCTGGGCAACAAAGTGAGATTCTGTCTCAAAAAAAAAATAAATAAATAATAATAATAATATTAAGAGCACATTATCAGTAAGGGAAAACTTTGGAGCAGAACCAGTTACAAGATTTACTCTGAAGACTGAGATGAATAAACCTTCAAGTTGAAGGCTTAATTACCTATAGTGACTGGAAGGAACATGCAAAGCTGGAGAGAGAAATACTGAGGTCTTAGAATACCCTAAAGATTCCAGCGATGGGGGATTTTAGTTTTTATTAAAAGGACAATTCTCCTTAAGAAGCACATAGCAACAAGTAAGCATGGATTTTATGGAGTTCCCTCAGATGGGTGGGGTTCAAGTGTCTAATCCAGGATAAAACTTTTTGTGACACTTATTTGAGAGCCAGTTTTCTAGCTTTGCTTCCTCTACCATAGTTTAGATTGCCTGCAGACTCAAAGGTAAGGGTGTAGCAGAATTTTTTTAAATGTTTCAAGAAGTTTTTGTTTTTAAGGTAAAGCAGTTTTTAAAACTGCCAACCCCAAATGGATGCTTTTAGTTCTCAGTAACTCATTGGAACTGTTGTCAAACAATAGTTCAGGCAACTAGTGTTCTTATGGCTCAACCATCACAAAAATAGTATTTTGTCAGTTTTACAAGTAAGCTCAATTTGAGTCTCAGTCCATCTTCTAACATTTGACTAAGACCTCAAACTGAATTTTAACAAGACTTGAAATACAGAACTTTTTTTTTCTATAGTGGTTCTTTATTTATAACGTGGGCTGAAGCAATTGTTACAATGTAGAAGGGAGACACATTACACAATTGTTATTTATACAAGTTTAGAACAAAAAACTGCACAGGGAGAGGTCAACTCTCAGTACAAACTAGCAACTAAACCACAATAATTTACCTTTAGAAAGGATTTCTTTATTTTTAGCTGTGACACTGCTTTTACAATATGCAAAAACACAAACAGAACTACCCAAGGTGTCTTGTCACATTCTTTCTACATTGAATTTGGCAACATTTTATATTTATTCCGATTATACTAACGTTTAAAAACTAAACAAGTGAAAAGCTGTACCAAGGTACAGTTACATCCATTTATTTCAAAAGGTTTAAAATACCACTTTTATCTATTGTGATTACCTTGCAGCGATTTCTGCTTTTGCAAAAACCATCTCAAGCATCATATGCACAATGCATCAGCTACTTTTAGTCATCAAGATTGGTGGGCTAAACCACAGGCACTACTGTTGCTTATATTCTGTAAAAGGAGCTTGTTTTTCAAAGAAAAAAGCTTAAATAGTTTCTAATAATCATGCCTTTGCTTTAAAGCCATAACATAAAATGTCCTTGAGCAATCACAGCAGTGTTAAATGTTAATATATAGAACAGTGACTATACAGGTACGTTACTCTCACATCCAATGCGGTTATGTATTAAAGCATAAGATTATGTCATTGAGGATCAGAGCCAACAGAAATCTGCAGGGTTGTGGGACCCACCAAACTCCTCGTCCTCGAGAAGTATGGTCACCAATGGGTGACACAACTGCTAAGAGGGCTTGCTTTCTTTTTTTAAACACTGTTGCCTTCTCCAAAGGTGATCCCTTTAAATCTACAAATCTCTGTTGGCTTTAAGGGATGGGTATTATAACAAATTTAACTTCCACTTAAAAAAGAAAAGACAAATCCATTCCAAAAAACATTACCTAGAATACAAAAAAAAGGACAGTATAGTGGTCAAGATTCCCAGTGACGAACAAATCCCCCTCTCTTCAGTGTTTAATATGAAGCCAATTATAACTGCTATTGATTTAAAAGAAGGTAAGAAAAACAAGCCCCTAAATTGGTAAACACATTGGCAAGTTGCTGGACTCTAAGCTGGTTACCCTTGTTAAATCCACTCGAGTTTTTTCAAAATATTTGGGCTTTTCAACGCACCCAGCCTGCTGGGCACAGTTAAGTAAAAGGCATTTGCTATATCTTAAGAATTCCCTGCTATCATTTTAAAATGTTTTCACATTTTTTAAACTGCCTTACCCTTTTGGATGTATTTGGATTCAATGAAAGTGAGTACGATCAACGAGAAACTGAGGTGGGGCATTCTACGTCTACCCAGTGGCAGCAGCATGCACGGGATTGGAGGTGGGTGCTGTGTGCAGTCAAGAGGAATCGTGGGAGAAAGGAAGTCCTTAAACACCCTACAGAAACAAACACTGCAATCCAGTATGGCTTATTCGGATGCATTTACCATGAAGCTACTAGAAATTCAACCTACGAGGCTACTCTTAAATGTGACAGGATCGGCTATGTTGACAGTGTGCCCCTCCCATGGCCCTCCCCCCAATCCCAACACAGTCTACCATTTCCAGATTTACTTCACTCTGAATATTGCTCATCAACTGTTACTCCTGCTTTTCCCCTCAGAACATAGTATATTGACTGAGGGTTTTACCTCTTACCCATTTTGTTTGTACATTAAAATAACTTGAATTTGCTTCTAAGCTAGACTACTACAATGCATCTACAAAAGCTTGCGGAAAAAAAAGAAGAGAGTGAAGTATAGTAAATTCTTTTCTGAAATTAACTACTTCATGGTTCCCCTACCCCAACCCCCCTCCCTTATGCATTTAAAATTTTACAAAGACTTGTAAAAAAGTTAAATGGAATTTGGCACCTTCAGAAAAATCAAAAGGGAAACTAAGATTAAAATGTGCAGAAAGAAAACTGTCAATATTTACAAATTAAAAGATCAAGATTATGTCAGTTACATATGTTGCTTTTAATTCTTATCTAAAGGTGTTGAGTACTTTCAAAAGAGCTGTATTCTGAGTTGCCTACAAAATCTTTTGTTTGATTATAGATTGGAATGGATCAAGACAAATTAGGTTTTATTAATTAAACAGTTCATTCCCCACTGGCAGCGTTTCTTGTGAGACTAAGAGAGCCTAAGAGAAGCGAGGGGCCGAGCGATCATTTGTCGTGGTCTTCTTCAGTTTCACGCCCCTTCGGATGGCGTTCAGCATGTCTTCTCCTTGTGGAGTATCTCTCGGGCTCAGGTCTGCAGGGTCACTCTCTGGAATCTGGCCTGGGGAGACAGTGGCACTTGGGGGATCCCTTTCCTGGTCTTCAGCCTCGCTTTCTGGAATCGTCTGCCTGTGCTCCTCGGGGATACTGGGCTTCGGGCCTGGAAGTGGAGGGTTGACGGAAGCTTGGCCACTCCACATTGAGGAGGGCATGCTGGTGACACCTTGGGGGCCCTCACCCACAGATGGCGACTCGGGGCTATGCTCACCCCGCTCCTCTGGCCCATCTGGAGGGGCTGGCAACACCCCAGGGAGGTCTGGGACGGTCGGGGTCTTGACAGGGATCACAGGTGTCTTGATGGGGATGGGGCCAGCTCCGATAGTCCCCCGGCGGACAGAAGGCTTGGTGGAAGGGGTCCGGCGGATGGTTGCAACCCCTGGGGTGACCATAGCAGGTCCGAGGGTGGTGGGGAGGCCAGCGGTCGAGGCTGGGCGCTTGGCTTGGAACATCCGTCGGTAGGACTGGCTGATGTCACTGTTTCTCGGAATGGTGGAGGATTTGTCGAACTCCTGCTGATCTGCCTCCTGGTCACCACTCACGGAGAAATAATCATAATCTGAAACTGATGATAGGGTTTGATTAGACACATCTAAGACAGCAGCTTTGCTTTTTGATTCTTCTGTGCTGGGAGGACAAAAAACACACGGAGCAGGATACACATACACACACTGTCTCATCCGAAGCTTCTCCTGGCTTTCTGTCCTATCCTTAGCAAGCCTCAGCAACTGAGAACCCCCAGCAGGGATCTTCACTTTGTTCGTTGATGTGTCCTACGCACCTGAACAGTGCTTGACATGGAAGGCACTCAAATATCATCACGTGGGGGAGAAGGGAAAACTGCCAGGTTGCAGCAAAGCTACCTCCAGGCATCTCAGGAAGGAGTAAGGGGATGAAGGAGATCATTCTCCTATCTGGAACTCAACATGAGAAACAAACCTCAAACACACTAGCACAGGCCTTTCCATCTCCTGGTTAATTAACTGGTCAGGTGGGGGCTAGAAAAAGAATGGAGCTACTGGCAAGGAGACCCTGACACCAAGGAACAGCAACAGGTTCCATCAGTGCCACGTGCTCACTTCCTCTCAAGAAATGGCACAATGCCAGTCTCAGGGTGACGGGGAGGGGAAGCTTAAAGACTAACCATCTCACAGCAGTGGTTCCAAACAGCAGTACCACTGACGACTTGGGCCACGTGAGGCACTGTTGCGGAGGGGATGGGGGTGTGCTGTGTATTATAGGATGTTCAGTAGCATCCCTGGCCTCTGCCCACTAGATGCCAGTGGCATCCTTCCGGTTGTGGCAACCAAAAATGTCTCCAGACATTTTTGTCTGGAGAAACATTTTGTCTTGGGGAACAAAAATCACCATCCACAGAGACTCAGTGTCTCAGAGAGGCGTTGACTGATGGATGGCAAAAATAGCTTGTGGTCCATTGTCACAGATGTTCCGGCTACAGATATCTGCATCCTGCCTGCACTGTGTGTGTGTGCTGGGGTTGGGGTGAGGCAGGCAGGTCCGAGGGAGTTTGGCTGGAATGAGTTAAGAGCTTGGGTGTGAGACTCTAACATGCCTTAGGTTCAAACTCCGGCTCTGCTATTTATTAGTTGTGTGAACATGAGCAAGTTACTGAGCCTCAGTTTCCACATCTGTAAAATGGGGATAAAAAACTTATCCCACAAGAGACTGTAGAGATTAAATGGGAAAATAAATACAAAGTACTTAGCACAAAGTGCTAAAACAAAAATGAAGCTATTACTAACAGCACGTGTCCCTATTCAGACTCACCCTCATGGTGAAAAATGAAAAAAGCTGTGAAAAGTCCAGATCACTTCTTCACCCAGCAGCTACCTGACAACTGCAGATCAACTCTCCACCGCACACCCACATGATGAAACCAATTCTGACACCCATCTGCTAGCCAGGGGGTAACAGGCGATTAAAATGAACTACTAGATTTCCTCTCCTCCCCCATGCTGCTCAGAAAGTCCAACCGCGACTCCAGGCTGCCCCGTACCTTGGGAGGGGATGGTGTCCTCAGAGCAGCACGGGGTGGTCGTCTGGGTGCTGTAGCCACTGGAGCACTGAAGCGAGTCCCGGCTGCTCCTCTGGGTGTCCAGCTGGAGGCCCCGCGACAGGGCCAGGGCCAGCTCCTCACAAGCCTCCATCTCCTCACCAGGCTGCAGGATGGAGGAGAGAGAGACGGTGTCCCTACAGACAAGCCACGAAGGCCATGAACCCCCACCTGGCGTCCCCAGAGCCTGTCCACACATTGCCTTTAGGAGGACTCAATGCCACTCCTATTCTGTCCTGTGAGCAGCACATTTCTGTGGTCCCAGGGCGCTACTGACTTGCTTGGGTCCTACCCAGGTTCTAGAAAGTTCTAGGTGTCTTGTTTCCACAAAAGGCTTTTTCCCAGGGGACTTCTACATGCCGCAGGACAGGAAGTGAGGGAATGGAGCCCAGGTCCCTCTAGCTGCAAGGCTGCCTCAGCACCCAGTTGGGCCTAAGTGGACCCAACAAACTATAGAGAACAAGAGCGTCACCCTGGTGGCAGCAGACACAGTCATGCTCCGCGGTCTCTGAGCCTCCTCGGCAGTGGCAGGCGGGCCGCCTGCGGCAGGGGGTCCTCCCCCGTTGGGGTCCGGCTCACGCTTCTCTTTGCGGCGCTGCAGAGTGTTCACCAGAGGCTGGTCGTAGGGGCCCGGCTTAGCCCAGTCCTAAGCAGAACAAGTGCGGTCAGGGGCCACGCCTCTGCCTCCAGTTGGAGGGCTGCAGTGACCCTTGGGGTAAGCTCAGGCTGGGACAAGCCAGCAGGCCTCTGCAGGGCAGGGCAGGGCGGGGGGTGGAAAACCCTTCGGGGGCCTCCTGGGTACTTCCCTTTTTCCTCATTACTGCCCAGAGATGAAAACCCTTCACCCACCAGGCAGGCAGCAGGAGACTCTTAGTTAACAGCCACCTAACAGGTGGCCAACATATGCTAAGGGCACCAGCCAGGGGAGCACGCCCAGCCCTTCTGTCTCCTTTAGCAACCGGCCTGTTCATGGAGTGGCCACCAGGGGGCACTAGGGCGACGCCAGCCGCTCTCCCTGCAGCTGGGCCTCTGATGCCCGGGAAGCTGGCCTCAAAGGGCACAGTGGGACCTTGTCCTCTCACGTCCCCAGCTAGGAAGGGAAGGTTCCCAGGGTCAGCAGAAAGACTTTGAGGAGTTTTGAGAAGTCCATGCAACCTGTGAGGGCTGAAGTCAAAATCTGCCCAAAAAGCTGGCAGCCGAGGGACCTACTTTTCACATCTGGGTCCTCCTCTCAAAACATAGTATAATATCAAAACAAAGTGCTCAAAATAAAGCATAGTATCTCCCTGGAGCACTCACTGAACTTGCCAGGAGATAATTGTAAAACTTCGTTTTTATATATTAAAGTAACTATGCTTTAACATAAAACAATCAAGACTGAAAACTAAGTCTGCGTGCACTTGTAAGTTAAACGCAATGACCCAAAACATACTTTGGGTCACGGCTCTGTTCCCATAGCCCAGCAGAGGACTCGCTAGGGGAAACGTCTGGGGAGCACGGCTGAGGAGGACAGACCCTCCCAGCCACCTAGAGCGGCCTCTGATAATGCCGAGCCCTCGGGCGGGCCCCAGGAGGGGATAAACCCAGCAGATGGCAGCTAGACGTGGAACTGGGCCTTTTAACTGGGAACTGACCAGCGCCACGTGGAAATCGCTGTCTTGGAGCTGCCCGCTGCTCTCCGGTTCTCCCCCAGTGGGAACTGACTGAGGGAGAGGCGTTATGGGGAAGAAGGCAGAGTGTGAGAGGAAGGGCGAGGGGAGAACCAGGGTGAGGATGGTGGAACAGAAGAGGGGTGAGCACAGAGGCAATGACAGGAGGAGAGGACAGGAGCGGGGAGGAGAGACACAAACCTTCCAGCTAGGGATCTGAGATGACGGGAACATGCCGGGCCCAATGGTGTAATAATGAGCGTAGTCTGGAAGGTGGACAGAGGTGACCCGAGGGAGCAGGCGGGAGGCAGGCAGGCAGTGGGGGAAAAGGCCTGCACCCACGGGCCCCACGTGGGAATCACTTGATAAACTACAGTGAGAAAACCCGTTAGACAACTGGAAACAAAACAAACAAGGGGGGGAAAAAAGGAAAAAAAAATTAATATAACAGGATGAGTGTGGAGGTACAAGATGGCATTGACATTCAAGGGAGGGGGAAACCTCAATATGTATAAATAAAACAAAGGGGGCTCTGCTGCTCACAGATGACCCATGATGCAAGAGAAACGAGCCAGGGTGCAAAGAATGCACATGCATTTGACACCAAGTAAGTATTTAGTCAAGGAAATATTTGACCTACATGGAGAATAGTTTGGAAACTGATCAGTGTCCTTAATTGGTGGCGTTCTCAATGGTTTTTGATTACATAACTAACAAAGCCTAATTTCACGGTGAGAGTGATTTCTTGCTCATCTCATTATGCAAATTAAAAAATGCTACAGCGGCTTCAGATGAATCAGTTCATTCTAGGTTTCCAAAATCATTACATGGATCAGGAGCAGACTCTGAATCAAGGGAAGGGGGCAGGGGTTTGCAAACTAAAAGGCAAAGAAAAGCACACAGCTTCTGACACAGTGACATGTCCCGTCCAGTGGTCCGGTGGGGGCCAGGGAACGGCAGGAGAGATGAATGTGCACACAACACCTGATCTGGGAAGATGCCTTCACACCTCCGAATTCCCCATACCCCTTCCTCTCCCTCGGGACGACCACACGGTCACTGTTCCACAGCCAGGCGCTCATTCTAGAAAAAACCCTCAGCCTCGTCCCACCCTCTGTCCCCAAGAGGAGCCCACGCTTGGTGTGGATTCTGAGTTTGCAGGTTCCTGTGTCTGTGATGCCTGTGTACACGGCAGGCAGGGGTCGGGGGGTGGGTGGGGGAGGGAGACCAGGGCCGCCGTGGCTGCCACCTGGGCGGTCACCTTCTCTGTGGACACCCAGGCGCCCATGGTGGAGCCCGAGCTGACTGAGGTGGGAGAGCTGCACTCGCTCACTGACTGGCAGGTTTCGGAGGCTTCGGAGGAGGCCGAGCTGGACGAGTTCTGCAGCGGGGGAGGGACCACACGAGGGGACCGGACAGAAACCAAACCACACGCCACCAAATTATAATAATAAAAAAGAAAGAAGTGGGGGTGGGGAGGGCACGCACAGAGAGAGGGAGAGACAGACATATACACAGAAGAGGGAAGAATGAGAGAAGCAGAGGGTTAGGGTTACTTTCTCCCCAAAGTTGCACCCGCACAGAGGTTTGCAAGCCCTTGAAAGGAAGCACAACACCCAGCCAGCCCCAGATGCGCTGGGCTGTAGGGCTGCAGAGGACACGGATCGTGTCCTTTGCTGGCACCCAGAAGTGTGCCTGGCACTGGGGCATCCGGTCATGGCACTGGAAGTCCCAGCAATGCTGTGTTCTCCTGGGCTTTTCTTCACGTGCCACAGGCCCAGGTCCCCAGGGAGGCCCTGCCTGTCACGTTTCTCGTGTGCACAGGCATTATTTATCGCATGAGGGCTGACCCCTGGCTTGGGCTTTTGCTACAGGTCTGCCTATAATGGCTCTACTTCCTGGATTCTCCCTTCATCAACTGCAGCCTCTGGGTCCAGAAGGGAGGGTTTGGAGCAGGGAAGGCCTGTGGTCAGTGCAATGTTTCTGGTGGCCACTGTGGGGAGGGAGGAAGCGTCGAGAGGGGCCTCATTTGGGAAAACACCTTCATGCTCATCTACATAAACCTGAGTCCCCGCCAGGCTCCTAATGTCAGCCAGGACACGGGCTCCCAGCTTGGCTTTCTGCCCCTCGGCTGAGGCAGAGGGACGGCTCCTGTGAGCTCACCGTTACACTGAGTTTCCAGTCTCGGACCTGGCACAAGTCAAGTGCTTAAGAAATACTAAATGGATGAGTGACAATGACCATCTCTTTCATGTAAACTGTGTCCCTGGGTACTGCCTTGTGTCCACCCAGGCACTTGCTCTAAGTTTTGTCACTGCTAGCTGTGCTCTCTGGCTTGCCGGCCGCAGCCCCACGCTTCTCTGCTGGGATCGTCCCTAAAGTGCTCCTGCGTTCACTGTCAAGGAGGCCAGATTCACGTTTCTGTCCCTTTCACCCACAAAAGAAAGAAGGGGACAAAGGTTTAGCTTTCCTGTCCTGAAAGGGCAAGGGACCAAAAAGACAATCAATAACTCGGGGGCCCACGTGGGCTGCAGCGAGGAGAGGCCACACGGTGGACGGACGTCCCCGCTGCACCCCGCGCGCATGGCCTGCTCAGCAGCCCAGACCTGGAGTGCTAAGGTTTAAAGTCACGTTTCTGCCACTTTCCAGCTGAGTGACTGTGGACGTAAAGCCCGCTAAACTTCAATTTTCTTTTTTCATCTTTAGATGTAAGTAAGAGCCACTTATTATAATTTATCAGGACTGTTTATCTTGGTTCCTCTAATTCAAGATGGTGTACTTGAAAAAACAAACCAGCGACCCGCCCCAGGACTGCAGGTCCCCATTTCTTTTGACTTCTGCTCATTTTTTTCTAAAGAACCTCTTGCTTCAGATGGAGTGAACGGCTCTAGGGAGAGACCCTCACTTAAGACGCGGCCCCACTCCCGGGCACAGGCGGGTTAAGGCACAATGGGGAAAGAGTGGAGGCAAGAAAACGGGCGGACTCGGAACGAACTCCATCGCTTGGCCTCGGTCTAGACCCGTGCACGGGGCGGGGAGATGAGGGTTCCTGCCCCGCCCCAGGGGTGTGCTCCCTTCCCCCCCTCAATAACGCCACCTTCAGGACACTGTACCTTCTGGTTCATGTGATTTGTACAATTTCCTTCAATTTCCCCTCTATCATTCTAAGCAGCCATAAGGCCTTTTTTTAAAGATAGAATTCGATTAAATTTTGTAGCATCCTGAGCTCATTAGAACTAGCCTAGAGTTGCTATCCAAGCATGTCCTGGGCATGGGCTTTCAGATTTAAGTCAACCCAACACACCCCTGTTGCTTTCCTCCAGTTATCAGAGGCAGAAACACTCTGCTTCAGCCCGATGTGCACACGCGGTTTGGGGATGGGAAGGCCAAAGCATGTGCCTCCCTGTTTTAGGAAGGGCTGTCAGTGCACCACAGCACGTTAATTTTCAGTCGATTAAAACCGAATGCACAATTATGCGACACATTAGAACAGCCTCAGAGGACCCGCAGGCTCCTGCTTGCAAGCCACACAGGTATGGTTTAGTACAGCACATGGCGGGGCTGGGGGACACCTCACGGAGCAAGCCAAAGCACCGCAGCTGGGACAAGCACTTTAAAACTAGAGCAGTGGCTCCTGGCTCTATGTGTTTCCATGTGAAACCGAGTGTCCAGCCAAGGAACAGACAGAGAGGCCACAGTGCCCCAGGATGGCTGAAAAATGCTAAAGGGAGCCCTGAGCCGAGGCAGGGCCTGCGGCGCTCTGGCACAGGCTTCCCAGCAGGTGGCGCTGTGGGCACCCAGCATTCTGGATGCTGTGCTGCTGAGCGTTCAGCCAGAGGACACCCAGTGGCACTAAGGGAGAGAGGACAGAGAGGGGGTCACATACACTGACCATGCACAGGAAGGGTGTTCCGACGCCCGCCCCAGCTCGCGCTTGCGGCTCCAGCTGGAACCATCGGGCAGGGCTGCTCCTAGCACCATCGAACCCACACCGCCCCTTCTCCCAGATCAAAGTGCGACAGCGTTATCTGCAGAGGCAGATAAAGGGAACCCGAGAGTGCCAAGAAAGGGTGTCTGAAGTGCTACTATGCAATGATAAAATCTCAGCCATTCAGGGAGAGCTTGAGTGGGACAACTGAGGGTGGCCCTGTCGCCCGGGTGCCTGTTAATTACAGCATCACGCCAGGCTGGGCACTTACAGTGTCGCCAGAGAATGGCCAAGTTCTTTTAGTCTGTCTACTTAGGTTCGAGAGCTCCCCAGATCAATGTGGTAACCCCCCAGGCGTTACCACCATGCAGAACAGGCTGCAGACCCAACTTACAGGCTCTGCCTTTGGGGATCGACACAGCCAAAGATGAGAAATTAAACCAGAGGTTTCTCGAGTCAGCAGGCAGGGGTCTGTCCAAGCTGAGGCCCTTCACAGTGGTCAGGGCACCAGGGGTGACGGCTGCTCCTGGAGCCCGGGCACGCTTACCTGGTTGGGGGCCTCTGGCGGCATGGGGGACGGTGACTTGGACTGGAAGGCGTCCTGGGATATGAATCCCGAGTCATGGGAGGACACGCTGGAGAGCCTCACGGGCGCCTGCTGGGCCAGGTTGGAGCTGCGGTAGCGGTAATGCGAGCTGGGGGAATGCGAGTGGGAGCCGCTGGACCGGGAGTCGCTGCTGTTGACGCTGTTCAGGCTGCTGTGGGGACGGGCAGAGGTGGGGGACGCCGAAGGTGGGGGGGTGAGAGGAAGGGGAGAGGGGCAGAGGGGGAAGAAGCAGGGCATAATGCGATCAGTTCTCTGTGCTCAGAAGCAGCACAAACCGTGAGACATGTTTCAGGACACCAGGTCATTAAGCTGGTAAACAAAAGGCTTTTTTCACGTGGGCAAGGGGGAAAAATAGCCGCCAGGACTCAGGTCTCTGAGTGCAATGTGGCATTCTTAAGACGGGGGTCTGGCATGCTAAAAATCAAGGGCTGCTAAAATCAGCTCTGCTGTGTCATCTACCACCAAAGCTAGGGCAGCCGATGACAGTGGCATGAAAAGGGACAGGGCTAATCTTATCCACTCATCTGCCTGCAGGAACCATGACCCTGTGGCAAACCCACTAAGGCTTCAGCATGACGTGGTCAGAATGTCCTTAGATGGACCATCTGGGTCCAGATGACTAAGGTTGACACAGCCAACCATGTCCATGGATTCCCTGCAGTGACTTCACCTCTGGGGGGTGCCTGGTGAGGATCATCAAAGAGAACCTCAGCAAATCAACTCAGTATGTTTGTGTGCATGTGTGTTACCTTTTATTGACAAAGGGATTCTTTCATTAGTGGTTTTACCCTGACCCCAGGTGTTTCTCTGTTAAACTCTCCATGGGTCTGGTATAATAATAGTACACCTGGCAACAGGCAAGCAGCTTTCAGTGACTAAAGGCAATCAATTTTCAAATGTTTGCTTCTGAGATGGAACAGTAAACAGGATGTCAAAATCATGACACACCCCCACTAGGTGTTCTATCTGCATTCCATCTCTAGTCCCAAGAAACACACTCTACAAGCTGTAGAAAACTCAAATTATGAAAAAGAGAAAACTGAACAGAGTCCCATGGGCCAAACAAGCAGAGTTGAAATATATAAAGGGCAATTGTAGAAACACCTGAAGGGCTGAAATAAACAACCCAGCCTGGGATTGGAAAGTCTGTGGTTCTGCTCCTAATGCTGCAAAATAATTTGTTTTGCAAACTCTGGCAGCTAACAAGGTAGTCAAGGACGGCGTGGTTGTCCTACGCTAAGATTACACGGTACAAATGTCCAGATGGATAAAGGGAATGTGCTGGAGGAAAAATCGTATTTATCAGGGGTAAATATCATGACTTTTGCCTTTCTCACCAATCAATCAGAAGAGGGCATTTGGGAACAGGCAGTAAAGCTCAGGACAACTGCACCCCAGCTGCCTCATAGTTGCAAATGTCAGTGCAACATGGTTTTCTACTTAAACTAAAATTGTAAGGAAGAAAAGATACCCACACAACTTTGTTTTGTACTAATGAGAGAAATTTTTCTCGGCTACCAAAAAGAAAATAAGCTTGTTTCTCTTTTCCTCTCTCTACCCCCCACAGAGCCTATTAAAAATGACAAGAAACCAATCAACATCTTCAGGGGCAGAATGTCAGGATGTTCCATCTTAAGTTTGAACTTCCTGTTAAGTGTATATTGTACAAGCTCAAGTGTGAAAAGAAACATATAGCAGGGTATACACGGACATCCCCAAGTACAAATGTAGCAGCTCTTTGCTCTCAGTGCTAATACACACAAAGCAGAAACTCATTTGGCTTTAAAAACTTAAATAAAAACATTAGCAGGACTAGCATACCAAGAAAAGTAAGTGATATATCATGTTTCCATCTTTTGAGGAGGATGAACTTTCCTAGTCAGAAAACCAAGAATGGTCTTCTGACAAAAGACTGCTAGGCAACAGTTCTGCAGAAGGCAGAACTATTCCAGAAGATTCTGAATATGTTGCAATAGGTAATGGTACCAGTTAACAGAGCAGTGGTGGTGGTGGTGGTGGTGGTAATTGCAGTGATAGTACTGGCCAACAGAGCAAGAACTCTATTTACCTTGTGAAACCCTAAGACAGGCCAGGCGTGGTAGTTCACGCCTGTAATCCTACCACTCTGGGAGGCCAAGGCAGAAGGACCACTCAAGGTCAGGAGTTCGAAACCAGCCTGAGCAAGGGTGAGACCCCATCTCTACTAAAAATAGAAAGAAATCAATTGGCCAACTAAAATATTTAGAAAAAATTAGCCGGGCATGGTGGCTCATGCCTGTAGTCCCAGGTACCTGGGAGGCTGAGGCAGTAGAATTGCTTGAACCCAGGAGTTCGAGGTTGCTGTGAGCTAGGCTGACGCCATGGCACTCTAGCCTGGGCAATAGAGTGAGACTCTGCCTCAAAAAAAGAGGAAAAAAAAAGAAACCCTAAGACAAAAGTTTGAGGGGAAAATGAGGGCACACGCCATTGTTACTTCTTTCACTTGTTCTGGCAACAAGGAGCTCAGCCTGTATAAGAATCAACCGAGGCTCACACCTTTTTAGTCCTTCTGGTTTTCACTCTGCTAAACGGGAGAATCAAATTTGCTCTCATAAAATTGGAAAATCCCTCCAACATGCAAGTGAGAGAGAGCGAGGTACATCCACTAGTCTAGGACTAATGGGGTTTTCTTTCTGATCCAAAATTAATCCAGAGACTAAAGAGTGAGACCAAAATTACTAGCATTCTTTCCACTGATCATCTCTCCATTTCCTGTTGAAAATGAGCCATTCAAAGAGATAAAGACTGGCTCTACTGCCCACATAAGCCTAAGGAAAAATGACCTGTCCTGAAAGCGGGAGTGGACTCCAGCTTCACTTACCTGCAGACACTTGACTTTCTGGACATGGTGGTGCTGGGGGAAGAGGGTGGCGTCTGATAGGACCAGCTGTAATCAGAACCTTTCAAGTCCAAAATCACCTAGGGGACAGAGCCAGCTGGGTAAGTGAGGTGCCAAGAAGGGAAGGAATCATTAGCCATCAAATCTTAACATCTACCATAACATCAGAATGCTGCCATCACAAGGGGTAGGATTAAAGAAAAACAATGTTAAGTTAAAAAAATTTTTTCTTTAATTGCAGAACTATACCACCAAACCATGAATTGTCATAATCTTTTTCTGAAAAAAAAGCACAACTATAATTAATGGGAGGGGGGGAAGGAAAAGGACAACCATGAAATATCAGAGGGAGAGGAGAAAAAAAAAAAAACTACAGTGACCCATTAACAATTTACAAGAGCCATTTATACCCAAGGCAGCACCAATAAGGCAATAATGGTTTCCGGACTTACTAATCATACATTTTAACCACTTGATATTCAATGATCACTTGGGTCCTATTTGACCAGGACTAGAAATTTGAGAGCCCGACAGAATCAAAAGCAAGCCATATCTGTCACAATTATTCCTACGGCCACCTCCCTTGCTTGACAAAGAGCCACTTGAGCATAAGGTCCACCTCTTATTCACATAAGAGACACTCAATAAATGTCTGTTTATTGAGTGAATGCATGCATGTTCTGGTCTAATGAAAGCAATTTCACAGAACAGAGAATACAAGCTCCCAAATTTGTCTTCTGAGCTGGCTCTCCAAGGAATCCATAAGAATTGTATACAAAGGGCATGTGCTTCTTCAGCTGCTGCACCAAATGTGTCTCTTCACACTTGGTATAGTGGTATGTGACATGAACCAAATGAATAAAGCATAAAAAATGTCATCGTTTTCAAAAGACAAGAGTGATCTCCATGCATTGCTCAATTAGAATGAGAGAAATGGAGACTGTTCTGACAATGACAACCAAAACATACCACTGTCATGTTCCTATGAGGGTTTACTCCTAGAGGCTGGATGACCACAGTGGTTAAGTGCATGGCATCTGGGACTCGACCACTTGGTTCAAGTCCCAGTTCCACTGCTTACTAGCTAGGCGAAGCTGGTTAAGTGACTTCATCTCTCAGTGCCTCCTTGTCCTCCTCCGTAAGATGGGCGTAACATGCAGATGAACTGAGGACGTCTGGGTAAAGACCTCGGGACAGTGCCTAACACACAGCAGGTCCCACCCAATGGCCAGCTATGACGACGACCATATATTACAATGTAAAGAACACAGTGACACATGAATAGGAATTGAGATATGATAAATGCCACGAGGAACAACACTCAGGGCCTTGAACTTTTCTCTCTGTGTTTTGTTCCCCTGAGTGCTTAACCCAGGACTCCTACCTGTTCACTTGAGGAGGGCAGTTTGTGAGGGTCCATGGTCAGGCTTTTTAGATCTTCCGATATGGTCTGAAGGTGGGTTATTTCCCCCAGCATTGAGATTTCTTCCTCCTGGAAGAAAAGCCATTCATAATGCATTATTGTCGTGAGTGATTCACTTCATCGTCTTACTCCAACTGTTTTTATTAGGGTCACTGTATGACCCTTTCGACCATTCAGAAAAGGCACCGTGGGACAGGAAGATCTCTGCTGAAGGCACTACGTGCCCTTTCTTTTGGGAAATGGAAAGGAAAAAGACATCTGCCATCATTGTGGAGTGACCCATGTGCCAGGGACCGTGGTGAACACGTGTGGGGAGTGCCAGGCCTGCACGGGTCATGGGACTGCATGCCCTCACGGCATGCCACAGCATGCCCCCTCCCCACGCGCTGAGGCCCCTTTCTGAACCGGCTCAGCTTCAGTGGATGACACGACTTGGAGATACCTTGGTCCAGACCTTTGTGAAGTCCATGTGTGTTCAACAGAGGTTAACCATCCCCCTCTCTCTTCTGTTGTTCCACCAACTTAATAAATGGCAAGTAAGGTGGGAGCCAGGAACTATTAAAGAAATATCCCATTCACTTTGCCAAAATGCCAGGCTGGGACAGCGGGCCCCAGCAAGAACGCTCCATGGAAAAGTTCTATGCTCAGGGCAACGACTCGAATCCAGATGCTTTGCTAGGGCTGAGGAATTGAGCTGGTGCCTTATCAGATTCAAGAATGCTCACGGCAGAAGTTACCAATTATGGGATGCAAATGATTTACTAAAAAGTCAAGTCGGAACTGATTCATGGAGCTTCTTCCTACATCCACCTTACGGTCATTCCTTGATATTCAGCATGAATGGTAAGTCTCCAAACCACCTGGAGAGCTTGTTTAAAAAGCAGATGAGTGCCCCCCCCCCAGAGTTTTAGACTCAGTGGATCCAGGCTGGGCCCAAGAACTTGCATTTCTAACCAGTTCCCAGGTGATGCTGCAGACCTGGGGACCCCACTTTGAGAACCACTCTTCTAGGGCTTTCCTGGCTTGGAGAGAAAAAGTAAAGTAGAATAACTGGTGCTAAGAACTGTGAAGGGGGAGCAGGCCATGTGCCCTCAGCACCCTGCAGAGAATCGCTGGTCTGTACAAGTGACACCACCGTCACGATTCCAGACACGCAGCAGACTCTGGGTGACCCATAAAGAGGGAAAGCCTCCTCCACACTTACAATCACTGGCCGCAGCATGGAGATGAAGGTGCAGAATCGGCCTCGTTCTTCAATCAGAGCCTTCCGGACGGCCTGCTTTTCTGTTTCTTCCAACAAGAGATATTTATCATTGACATCTTGGAGGGCGCTGTCCAACTGAGGCTGGATGTCACCTCTCCCTGAAAAAAAAACAAAGACCCAAGCACGGCTTGCTGAAACACTAGCTTCTGGAACAAGCAATCCTCCCTGGGGTCCTTGCTGAAGTCAAAAACCACAATTTTCCAGGACTTAAATAAATTATTTCTTTATACCCAAAAAGGATTTAAGGTGGCTATTTTCCTAGGCCAAGCCATTTCTAATTTCCAATGCCCAAAGGGCATATTTATACTGTTTATTCATGACATGGAAAATTTCCTGGGGTGGCTCTTCATGACTTGCCTTCTTGCCTTTCGTAACACACACAGAGCCTTCTGCCAACGAAACCCTGGGACACATAGCCAGACAGTATTCTTTCTTTTTAGAACATTCTGAAGAGGCTAAGCGAGGTAGAAATAAGGTAAGGGCTATGGATGTTTCCAAAAATGGGCACAAGCTGGCTTTGTTGGGTTGACCTGAGTCAAGGAGACTTTGGGCAGACGTTTCTGTCCCTGAAGACAAAGGTGGCAAGCAGCAGCTCTCCTGGCTTTTGGGCCCCCTGGGGATCCTTGGCAGTTAGTTTAAGTCCCTAGTGGAGAGTCCTGAATGCTCTTCCTGTAAAAGGAGCCCAGTAACAAAAAGACCTTCTCTGGTGCAAAACTGAAGGCAGAGTCTCTGCTATGCCTGGCCCATGTTTGGGAATTGTCTGGCCAGGTCCCCAGACCTCAGTTATATGGAGACAACCATTGTTACACTTTAAGACAGGATGTTAACCTTTTAAACAACTCCAAAACATGGTCAGTAAACTATCTTTGTAAATAAAGTTTTATTAGAACACAGCCATGTGCATTCATCTACATGTTGCCTACACCTGCTCTTCCAACAGTGGCAGAGTGGAATCGTGTGAAACAGACAGACAGCTTGGCCCTGAGACCACGGCTATTTGGCCCTTTGCAGAAGTCATTAGCTGCACTAGAAGATAAACATGGGCAAACAGGCATTGCACCTGTGGGAGCAGCTACTGTAGTCTGATCTGCAGGTGGCGACAGCGGTGTGACCACAGGGGAAACCAGCTCATGGGCTTCCACACTGGGCTCCCCATGTGGTGTGTCACCTATCACCTGAACCAGAGAGAGAATTTCTAAACTCCTTCAGGGCAGGGTTTTGGCCTTTCCCAGCACAGCCCCCAGTACAATGTCATGTGTGTACAGAGCCAAGGGTTCAAGAATTATCTAATAGTTTTAAACTCAGAACGTTAAAGCTAGGAGGAGCCTTAGGGGTTATCCAGTTGGGCCAAGATGCTCGTGTTTCCATGGAGGTCAAGACCTAGAGAAGTGAAGGGACTCATCCAAGGCCACTGGCAGCAAGGCTCAGAGCCACAGTACACCCACACAGCCCGTTCTCCTCTGCCCCACCACCTCCAGCCGAGGGAATGAATTCCACCGCCTTGTAGGAAGGGCCTTTACCTGTTACCATCTGCCTCTCGTAAGAATGACATAGAGAACATTAAATGCAATGTGCCATTTGGTTTTAAGAAAGAAACGGTCAGGGAAAATTGTCTTAGATGTAGGGAATGTATTCTGTATTTTCTCTTATAAGCAGAAGAGAAAACTTAATTTGGAGCAAGAGACAGGCTTAAAGAATCCAAATAGAAAAGGTAGTCCAATAAGAAAAAGTTATTTCTCAGGCAATCAGCAAGTTCCAAATTAGCACATAATGAGAAAATTACATGCAGTCCAAGATCACCCTTGAAAATGTCTTACATGGACATCGAAGAGAGTATGCACAACTTTTTGTATATAACTCTCTCACCAGGCAAGTGAGTACAAATATATGATATATACAATATAGCCTCTAAGTCCACAGAGGAATTTTATCCAACAATTACAGTAGTCTCTGCGTATCCACAGTTTTTCTTAATGCAGCTTCAGTTACCTGAAGTATAGTACGAGGGGATATTTGGGGGTGGAGAGAAACCAGAGGGGGAGAGAGAGAGAGAGAGAGAGACAGACAGACAGACACACACACACCACATTCACATAGCTTTTGTTACAGTATACTGTTATAACTGTACTATTTAGTTATTGTTGTTAATCTCTTACTGTGTCTAAATTATACATTAAACTTTATCATGGGTATATACACGTAGGAAAAAAACACAGTGTAATATATACAGGGCTCAGTACTATCTGTGGTTCCAGTTATCCACTTGTGGTTTTGGAACATATTCTCTATGGCTGAGGTGGACTGCTGTATGTAAGAAATATGCTACCTGAGAAGTTTCAGCATATTTTCAAGGTGACCCACTCACCTTTTCTTCCATTTAGTCACCATCTACTCCTCAGAGTAATTCTTTACCATTTCTTCAATTTCTCCCTCAAGGATGTAGGAAGAGTCATCCCTATACATTAACCTGGCCACCTGAGCCATTGCATTCTCCCATTCTCTGGGGGCACTTACGAGGGGGTCTTCTCATGGAGACCTATCACCTATGGCCGATGGCTCACAGAGGGAAGGCTGGCTGTCACTAGCACTGTGAAACTGTGGTTTTCTCTTCTCCTATTTTAAAATGCTGACTTGTGCAACTGAATCCACATGTATTTAATGTGCACATGATGCAGGCCCACTGGTAGGAAAGCTCTGGAACACCATAAACTCTTACTTTTTCTCTGCAACCTACAAAATAGCTTGGCCAATCCCGAGCCTTGCTGGGTGAGGCCACGTGGTTTGGGGCTGGTCTAGGAGGCTTCTTTATGTCTCTCAATCTCTCCCATGATGCTCTAATAACAAAACATGGAAGGCTGCAGACCATGTCAGAATGTTCTTAACTTTGGTAGGGAAGGGTGTCGGGAAGTTGGGAGATGGCAGATTGAAATACATAATGCTTGATCAACCCTGCTTGGATGTGCTTTGACTATGGCAGCAATTGTTTTAAACAACCACCTGTGGTTATAAGAAATTAGAAAAATATGTATCTTTACTTCCTTTCACAAGTTATGAGACACATGTCTACCTATAATATATTAAAAAATAGATCTACATAGGAAAGAAGGGAACAGAACCAAGAGTTATCTAATTTGGTAAGTACATATTTAAATTATTCTATGATTATAGCAAAGTTAAATATGTATTATGTAATGATGAAAGGTCTCTCAAACTGTAGTATTCTAAAATAAGTATAATCTGTAAAGACTGCTATAATTATAGTTATAGTGAGAACATTCCATTCAGGATATATCATAACCTAAAAACACAATGTTTATTTCTTAAATCCACTAACACAACATATAATTATATTTATAAAAAAAAAAAACGAGGAAGAAATTATTCCATGTTCCAGTTGGATGTATTGGTTTTAAGATATAAAGATTTTTCTGAGGTCCACAAATTCCGAGTTGTACTGACGCTGATTTAATATATACAAAAGCCCATTCGTTCCACTGCTGACTCCTTATGCACAGGTCCTGGCTATTCCTGCTCCCATGCGGACTTGTTCCAGCCGCTTGTCTCACCTCTGCTACCTCCACCCTCACTGGGCCATCATGATCTCTCACTGGGGCAGCTTCAATGGCCCCTAATGCATTACCCCGACTGCACCTAGACCAGCTCGCCCAGAGAAACCCCGAATTACTTTCAAAATGCAAATATTGTCACTCCTTTTCAATACCTCCCATTGCTCTCAAGAATACTCCAATGTTCTTAACATGGCCTGCCCTGCAAGGCATTCAGGGTCCCACCTGTCCATCTCACAGCCTCGGACTTCTTGGGCCACTCTTCCCCTCCCTTTCCCTTTCATCCTCTGGGGTCTGGGCACTGTCTCATCTTCACATACACTCTCCTCCTCCCTGTGCCTAACACCAGTTCATCCTGCAGGTTTGGCTTAATTCTGGATCCTTCAGGGACGCCCTCCTTGAACCCTCTCCTCAGATTGGGATTCTCTTACTTGATCTTGGAAGTTCCTTATACTTATCCTTCACAGCACTCCTCCCACTTGGAATTTCGTCTTTATTTCTCTAGTTATTTGATTGACATCAGTCTCTTTTACTGACCGTGCAGCCCCACGAGGGCAGAACCCAAGAGTGTTTTGCTTAGTTCCATGTCTTCTCACTCAGCACACATGGCTGGACGACAGCAGGTGTGCAAATATTTGCAAACGAAGGAGGTGCTGATATAACAACTTGCCCTGAGTTTGCTCACTGGCCTCAAGCAGCATGCCCTTAATTGGCCTAACACTTCAGAACTGGCAAATTCCATCAAGTAGACAAAGGGAGAAGGGGTGGGGGTGCCATAGATGGGCTTTCCAGACAAAAATCTTAAGAATTGCTTTTGGCCTTTTCTATAAAATCTAAGTCATCCTCAGTCTTAAGAATTTTTTTTGCAATTGCCAATTTCCAAGTTGTGGCGTATTCATGCTGGGGGATTCTGATGAATAACAGCCAAGAACCTGTTACCCTCCTCCCCCAGGGAAGATCGTGATTATTCTCTTTGCAGAAAACATTCCTGGGGCAAAGCACGATAAACGGGCACCATGCCATGGGCCAAAGCAGCATCCCTAAAGGATGAAGGAATTTTTTTCTTTTAATTAAGTACTGAGAGTTTACACAAAGCTTTCTGGAATGAAATGAAGATCCCATATCAGCTTCCCAATGTTCACACTTTATTTTCCTTAATCTTTGCGTAAACATTCAAGGCAGGAATTAATACCCCTTTTGATAGATGGGGAAACTGAGACTACAGGAGGCAAAGTGGCTTACACAGGGCCACAATTACTCCAAGCTAGTCACAGGCATAGCTCGAATCCAGCCCGTGGTCTCCCTCATTCAGAAGCCCACGTTCTTTATGCTTCCTGCACACAGCAAACACAAGCGCTGGGAACAAGCCGCCAGGAGCTAAACAGCAGATCAAAAAGCCAGTCAAGTGTGATTAGCATTATCTGTACCAGCCCAGCCTCTTCAAACACACTCTGCACCCTACACAGTGACCAAGCCAGGATCTGTTCTCAGGCAAGGGGCTTTCCAATGTGCTAAGAACAAACCCAGGACGC